GCTGTGAGAAATCAAGGAGTATTTCTGTCACTGCTAATTCTTTTAGTCAAATTCCGAAAGGGGGTTTAGATATTCTTGAATCGTTACACCAAAACTTCATAAAAGTAAGCCGTTTAAAAAAATTGCATAAAGAAAACTTTGACCACAATTATCTTGAAGCCCATGGTAGTAATTTAAGAAACGAGCGAGACAATGCAATGCAATGGTAATGTCTATTTCGTAGACAAGAAAGGGCCCATGATCAGATTTCAGCGGATCCAAAGCTGTAACTTTTTAATCACAAAAAAGATATACATCGGAGTACATTGAGTTGAATTCATTTTATTATCAATATCATTTATCCTCAATAATTTTGTTTTCTGATATAGTAAAGTGCAGAAATAAATATTAGTTTTGAGAATTTTACACAGGAATGAATGACGGCTTTTAATGATACCAATTTTCCCATCTGCGAAAATCCTATCAACATTTCTCAACGTCGATTGTGAACGCAACTTTAGTGGTAAAAGGACCATATAGTCAGTTTACAATCTTTTGCATCTTTAAAACATGCCTTGTAATATGATCTAAAACAGGTAATTATTACTTAAATTTCATTAATTATCATAGTCTTAATCATTTAACAATCAATAATATATAGAATTATACATTACTTCACATGGTAGCAATTTCTTAACTGATTCCGTGTAGCAAGACATAAAAAATACAACGGTAAAATAAATATTCATCAACTCCAGCCCATTCATCTAACATGTAAATAATCTGATGTTTTCCTTTCCTCTCGTTAACTTTTTAGAAACTTTGGAGCCTAATAGTTCAAGTACATTGGTTGGCCATCTGGTTCATTTACCTTTATCTCCCTCTCCTTTGCTTAATAATTTGGTGAGTGACTTAGGTGATGAATATAATGTTCAGGATAGTTTATGAGAGGCAACGGAAAGTTAGGACAATTGTGGACGGTAGGACAGGTAGAATGATATGTCATCTCTTGACCAAAATGCCAGTAGAGAGCCTAATAGTGGTTCATCGTCTTTGTAATAAAAGAGTTTGAAAATAACATTTTAACTCGCTGCTAAAGTATATGAAAATCACAGCATTAAAAGATGAGTTACAGTTTGGAAGCAAACCAATGTATTTTAGGTATGAAAAGGCTACCAGGTTCGGAGACAAGAGATTAATCAAAAGAATTATGTTAACTGGCACGAAGGAAACAGCGAATCCAGTTAGAATAAAGATCATTGCTTTTCCAAATTCATTTTCCGGTCTTTTACCTCTTTTTCTAGAAGAAGCGACTTTGTGAGCATCACGATTTTTGCTTAAATGGTCATCTTCACCTGCACCACTTTTCTTCATTACAAACCTATGGCAGTTGTTTGGTGACATTTCTCTCCTTTCTACAGTTCTATGCTGCTTCTCTTCTTGCCCTCCAAAACATGCTTCTCTGATGCCTGTTGTATTCACCTGATTGACGTTGTTGGTGCACGTGATATTTCCAATGTTGATTTGATTATTTTGATCATTTACAAGGTCGGCACAGCGATGTTCATTTTGTGAAGAGAAGTCAGCAACGGTGTTCTTAGGGCCAGAATGAACTCTGATATTTTTGATATTTTCTTTTATAGAAAAATACGTCAAGATGTATATGATGCATAAAAAGAGAAAAAAAATTAAGAAAATTGATAAATATATTTCTTTAAAAAAGTGCTTGAAAACAAGCGAGGCAGCTGCATTAATTGCATTCAAAACAAGAATCACGTGGCTCTTTCGAATTGTCATGAAACTGCCGTATCTATTAAGTAACTTCATATGAATGCATCGGTCTATTGCGATTGTGATTGTGAGGAAACCAGAACAATGCAAAAAGAGCGCCACTGATACATGAAGAAGATAAACAATCTTGCTATTAATCTGTAAAAGGCATCCAATATCATAAAGTAATCCAGTTGCACCAACAAGGAAATCTGATACACTCAACCAGAAAATGAACAAATAAGATACGATTCTTAGTTTGTTGAGCTTCTTCAAAGCATATGCAAGGGAAAGGTTGAGCACCAAGTTTGAAATATCTATTCCAACTCCGAGAATATTGTACAGAATTTCTTGCTTTTCGCTTGCCATTTGAATTCTTTTACTATTCCTATAAACGGAGTTTGAACGGGTTAGAATAACCTGATTAACATTAGAACTCGTTATATTACACAAATTATGATTCAAAATTTTCCAGATTGAAGCAAACGTTGCCCGAGAAAACATAGCATTAAATACAGTCGGTGATGTTACTCGTGAAAAACCTTAATAATGTATATTAGAGCAAAATGCATTGCAAGCAACAGGTCTTAGGCGCAACAAAATCCCATTGACTAAATGTATCAATGAAAAATTGAATCTTAAAAGGAAACATGAAAATTGGAATGGTTTGAGTAAATCTACCTTAACAAAACGAAAGGAACAAGTGTAGAAAAGTGTCTCTATGGTTCTGCAATCGAAAATGACAAAAGTTTACAAGTTTGTGTCCAACCCAATTTCTTTTCCTATCAAAATATACTTACTTTGAATTTTTCTTGCAAATGCTACCAACGGATACCTTTTCTCTCCAGGAAAACGTGCTGCTATTGCTTTCTGATAATTGCTTTCACGTAAATGCAATTGAGACCTCTTCAAATTTTATTGTAAAGATATGCAAACATTTATATCAGCTGCTCCATTTATTGATTGCTATTGCCACTTTTCTTTTGCAAACATTGTTTTAATTTATATCTTCAATCAAAGGTAGTATTTCGATTGCATCTTCTATCTTGCCATCAATCTGTCAGCTCAAAGAAAGCAAGGGCTTTGATACCTAGCGAGAATATTTTCCTTTTGCTAACATCTTTTTTCGCCTTATCTGGGCAAAGCTCTTTTAAGCATCGTAAAGTCAAGATTGTGGAGCCAATTGGCCCCCATAAAATCGCCTGTTCACTCAATAGTTGGGGCCTAAGACTAAGACATAGTTATTTCCTTGTACTACAATGATAACTTGAAATTTTCATGACAATCAAATCAATATTGACGTCATAGTGACATCATTACATTTTTCAATTGTTTGCTATTTATAAAAATATTCTTCAAGATTCCCATTAAATATCGCAAATACGTAGTTCAATGTAGGCTCTGCGAAAGCTTAACAAAACTTAACATGTTTCTTATCTGTTTCTTCTGTTTGACTGCATCCTCAAGGACTAGCGAGAATATAAGATCACTACGTTGATAATTTGGAAACCCTCCTTTGAAATCGCAACGAGTAAAATCTGCCGAAACACAAGAAAGGATTCGAAACTTTCGTTTTTGATGAAAGTTTGATGAAATATGTTTCCGCAACTGGGTGTTTATTTTCTTTCTTGATCTTTTCGTCCCTACTTCTGACGTAATATACTCTGTCATAAAATATATTGTTTTTAGATGCATGTTCCATAATGTCAAAAGATATTTAATGATTTTGCTTATAATGCATGCAAAGGATCAGGAGAGATAATAATAGGCTGCAGGTTTGCTCCATTTTTCAATACTTATGCCACTTCGGCTCCTGCCACTTCATGAGAATTCGGCAAGTGTCATATGACATTTGATAAAGCATTTTAAGAAGTGGTGTATTTACAACTGCAACGTGTAGAAGGCAGAGGCTGCATAAACTGAGTTATAGACATGCAGACATTTGATAATCATTGGCAGTTAAAAACTCTTTCTGTTGATACTTTTTCAATGTCCTCAACTTATAACTTTCTTTTTAATCAATACATTGGACATACTTTGTTACTGGTAAACCATTCTATCAAATTTGGTTTTTTAGAATTAAATTTAACCTATCCTTAAACTATCAGATAATCAGAATCAGAATCATGCTGAATACTTGGTTAAAAATCTTATGTCACAGTCATTTTTAGCACGTAGTAGAAAGATAATGAAATTGGATGTAGCACCTAAATTTAATTGGAAATTTCCTATCTGCTTTTTGCAATAAAGGTCTGGTTGGTAAACTATGGTAAAACTCTTAGAAAAATTGTAGGCTATAGGCTTAGTAAAAGTGTCGTTTTAGATTATTCTTTTTACAAAAGTTCTTGAGCCAAAATAAACAAAATCGCATAATACCGACAAAAACAATTCAAAGTGTCATTTGTTAATTAAAAATGTTTCTGAACAATTCTTGTAAGGCTTTTATAAAAAACTTGATTCTATAAAATGGACATTTGTCTAAACCTACAACCTTACTTTTACAAGAAGTTTCCCATGTTCGGAATAGAGGCAAATTTAGCATAAACAACGAATTCAAAAAATGTTTTACTAACAAAAATACAGCTTTTCAGCTACTTTGGCAATGGCTTTAGCAAACACAATTTCATCTAAAAAGACGTTTTTCTTAGCCGATACCCCTATTTTTTCACCAGGTTTCTTAAGGGATAAAAACAAGGTTTAAAACTGATCGAATCATTTCCAAATAGCATTTTATTGATATAAATAAGGCTCCATAGCAGTTTTTACAATGTTACTTGCAGAAAATGCTTCATCCAAATCCAACAATGAACATTTTTCATAATCTTAGGGCTTCTTTACAGACAAATAAAAAACCCGAAGATAAAACGTTAAAAGGTTAGTTTGAGTTCGAAATTTATTAAACAAGGCTTGGCCAAGGTATGGCACAGATTTTATTTTTGGATACAGCATGGTAATATTGAGCATTTAATTATCTGTATATCTGACCCCACTTCTGTTTTCCTTGTGATTATAAACAAAATGTCATGTTATTGCATTCCCTTCAGCTGAAAATGACATCAGATGACATTTGCTGCAAGAATATTTAAATATGCATGTTATAAAATAAAAATAGTGATTGTGAGCAAAATGCAAAGATAATTTTTTGAAAAGACTTTGGTAAAAAATAGTTAAATAAATAAGTGAAAAAACAAATAATTGATAAAAAACAAATAATATATAAATAAATAAATGAAAAAATAAATAAAAAATAAAAAAATTTATAAATAAATACATAAAAGAATAAATAAATAAACAAATAAATAAATGAGTAAAAAGTAACTTTGGTATTCAAACCTTAGCTTTTTGCTATTTTAGGACAGATTTAATGTATAAGCAAAATACAATTACAACTGTTTGGAATGCCGCTTTATTCAAGGCATTGCTTCAAATGCGCATGCGCAATTAATGTCAATGTCGTTATTTTTAAACCACATAATATACTCTGTGGGAGGAACATTTCTGTGGGAGGAACATTCGTGGCACTAATGGAAATTAGCCAGTCTGAAATAAAAAGTCTAAGAAAATTTAAAGAAAAGGTTGCCATGAGAAAAGTGATAACTAAGTTGTGGTTTATAAATGCAACTGTTACATAAAACAGTTTGGATTAAATGTTGTGGAGCGCCTTTGATTGTTAATTTTGCCTTCGCACTAATGCGCATGCTTACTTAATGCATCTTTCATTGGTTTAGACGAATGGATAGAATGATTGCCATAACCAGTAGGAATTTAGACTTGCCCCCTCAACAAGATAATTTCTATCTAGTAGACAAGATAGAACACGGGATTAGGCTCGAACAAAATTAAACGGTCATTTTTGAGCCATAAGTACAAACTGGTGTTCATAATCTTCCATTACGTCATTTTGTTGTCTGAAGTAGTGATTGGCAGAAATGAATGTAATTTTTGGAATTTTCAGCAGGACTTAATGTCAACGTTTCGATGATACACATTCTTCTTCTCTCCCCTCCCTCCCCCCTCTCCCTTCTCCGAAGAAAATGCTACCAACCCCATTGTGACAGCTACCTTCCAAATAAGTTTTTACGTCAGTTGTGAACGCCAGAAAAATGGTAAGCGAACCATGATGTCAGTTTAATATTTTTAAATCTAATAAATATTATTTCGCGTAATACTACTTTGAATTTCATGAATATTCTGTCTTCATATTGAAAACGTAATAAACAATACTTCGTGAAGGCAATTTTTCATAGGACTCCATCACTCTATGACCGAACCCGTCACTAATAAGCCACCAATGAGTCAATAAGTAAATAGCCATTAATTCCAATCATTTATTCCAAAAATCTGTCTTCATCAATATCAAATGCAATATGAACAGATGCATTTGTTTCCTCACTTTGACTTTTAAAGAACTTTGGCGAGTAATAGTCTTTGTTAGTCAAAATAAGTGACAATTGTAGCACATTGCTTTTCTCATCAATTATCTAGGGACGCTATCCGTTCTTCATAACTTGAGAAGTGGCTTGGGAGTTAAATAAATCCACTCTTGCGTGAAATTCTCCAAATTAAGCAACTATGTGAGATGCTAGTGAATGTTAAGTATGGTAATAAAACATACAAAGCCATCAAACGTTTTATTGTTTTGAGTCTTATGGAGGTTAAGGAAATTAAGAAACGGGACGTGAGCTGAGATTTTAAAAGAGGTACATATGCCCGTATAACCCACAATAAAGATTTATTGCCTTTAAATTATACGAGACTGGAAAAAACGCTTCAAATCACTGCTGAAGCTTACAAATATCACAGCGTTTAAGGATGCGTAACAATTTGGCAGCAGATTAATGTATCTAATCGACGAAAAGTCTACCAACTTTGGATACAGCATTTGAAGCAAACGAATGACATTAACTGGCAAAAAGGCAACAGTGAAGCCTGCTAAAACAAAGATCATCGCTTTTCCAAATTCGTTTTCAGGCCTTTTCATTCTGTTCCTAGTAATAGTGACTTTTTGAGTGTCACGATTGCTGTTCAAATGCGATTTTTCAACTGCATCTCTTTTCTTAATTCCAGCCTTGTGGCAATCATTTTCTGCTTTTTCTCTACTTTCCTTGTATGATATTGTAAAAATTTCAACATCTTGTTTTCTTGCAGAGCATTTCTTCTCTTTCTCTTCCTGCTTTGCAAGACGTGTTTCTTGGATAGGTAAAACATTCAATTGATTGACGTTATTTGTGCACGTGACATTTGCAATGTTGTCGTGATCGTTTACAAGATCAGCACAGCGATGTTCATGTTGTGGAGACAAGTCAGTGCTCTTCAGTCCAGAATGAAGCTCAATCTTTTTGACATTCTTTCTGATTGAGAGGTACGTCGAAATGTATACAATGCACAAAAAGAAAAACAAAATTAAGAAAATTGATAAAAATATTTCTTTAAAAAAGTGTTTGAAAACAAGCGAGGCAGCTGCATTAATTGGATTCAAAACAAGAATCACGTGGCTCTTTCGAATTGTCATGAAACTGCCGTATCTGTTAAGTAACTTCATATGAATGCATCGGTCTATTGCGATTGTGATTGTGAGGTATCCAGAACAATGCAAAAAGAGCGCCACTGGTACATGAAGAAGATAAGCAATCTTGCTATTAATCGGTAAAATGCATCCAATATGATAAAGTAATCCAGTTGCACCAACAAGGAAATCTGATACACTTAACCAGAAAATGAACAAATAAGATACGATTCTTAGTTTGTTGAGCTTCTTCAAAGCATATACAAGGGAAAAGTTGAGCACCAAGTTTGAAATATCTATTCCAACTCCGAGAATATTGTACAGAATTTCTTGCTTTCCTCCTGCCATTTCCGTGCAAACTTTTTTGTGCAAACTGCTAGGAACGAACGGGTAGATAAAAGCTTGTTTCTCATTTTATCTCACTACACTGACTACATTTGCAGTCAAAACCTTCCAAATTCAATCACTTTACTCTCAGAAAACATATTGTGGAATAAAAAGTGTAAAGTTTATGAATTACCTTCAATATCTTATTCTAGAAGAAACAAAGAATTGTGTATGTACAAGAAAAAAATCAAACTAATTTACTAAAATGCCTAACGTGCACCTTATTGACATGAATTTTACCATGCCTGTCCTAATTTATTCTTCATAAATGTCCTAATTCTTGTAAACCTGACACTAAAAGGCTTCATTGTGTTTATTAAGTAAATACAAGTATAAAAGAGTGCTTACATACTTTCGAATAGAGGAATAATAAACATGTTCTGTTTTTAAGTTCTAATACTTATCAATGGTTTACTGTCTGATTTTAAATGCATAAAGCATTAGCTTTCGATGGTGTATATCAGACTGCAAGTGAAACATTTCAGGCACATCCCATCTAAAACAAACATATCGTTTAAACAGAAAATTTTAAAAGAAAAATTTTATACTACGATAATTTGCACTGTTTAAGTTACTTTACCTCAATAAATCGTAACAAACATGTGTAGATCAGTGTCTCTGTGGTTCTGCATTCGGAATTGACAAAAGTTTACAAGTTAGGATCTTTGCCCATTTCTTTTCAAGCACTGTTTACTTTCTTGAATGTTTTTTGCAAATGCTGCCAACGGATACCTTTTCTCTCCAGGAAAACGTGCTGCTATTGCTTTCTGGTATTTGTTTTCACGGAAATGCAGTTGAAACCTCTTCAAACTTTATTGTAAAGATGTGTAAACATTAATACCAGCTGTCTTGTTATGTTGTTTTGCGTTTGCCAGTTTTCGCTTGCAAACATTATTTTCATTGATATTTTTAATCAACGGTTCTGTTGTGATTGGATCTTCTAAGTTTCCATCAATCTGACAGCTCAGAAATTAATTTATCTTGCACTGCATGTTTTCAAATCCTTTTTTATGTCTCTAAGCAAAAAACTGCCATGATTTGAAAGAGCCTAAATAAAAGCATAGATTCTTCTTTAACTTCAATTGATTGACCTAGTTATTCACTTTGAAGTTTTTTCTTTGCCTAGCATCCCTTTGTGATTCTTCATTACGGTTATAGTATATCCAATTGGCTGTAGCAAAGGAATGATACTTGCACACTTCCAAGCAAGTACCTATCGAAAAACCTTGATTAAGGGACTTGTGACCAACAATTTTCTAAAAAAATCGTTACTCGTGATAAAATTATCAAAAAAACGTGTATGAGAACTGAAAGTGACGATTCAGTCAATTTTTATTTTAGGATAATTAACACATTTTTCTTGAAATATGATTACTCAGTACTATAATACTAATATTAAGTGTAAATTGGATATGCTATTAACGTATTTTCAAATATTTTGCTTGCAAAAACGTCTTTGCAACTTCCGGTTTCACAAGAAGCTAAGCTATTTTCTTGATAATAAGAGACTTTTCAAGATTTTTCAAAGTTTTTGATCGTTAATAGTGAACTTTTTGAATATGGATTGGCATCTTAACAAATATGGGCCTAGACGTGTAACGTTCTAATCATTGATGCTGTATCGTTGCAGAAACGAGTAAGGTCGACGTCTTGATATGTAGCAATGTGACATGGCTCATGGGCTGGCTCATTCGAAAAAAAATACCCGCATGTTCATTTCTCTAATTATTTGATCTCACTGCTATCAGGGCATCAAACGTTATTATACATACTTAAATAGAGCTAACTCCTACTTGTACCTATCAAGTCAAATTAGCAGGTATCATATTCAAGCAACATTTATTTCTCGAGAAATCCAGCACACGATCTCATTTTAATGCCTGCACAGACATGGACCTGTACTTTAATTAAAACCAAAAGAAACAAAATCCACAAATAAGTAAATTCTACGCTTATATGGGCTCAAATCCAGTCATCACGTTGCTCTACATTGCTTTGTTTCTTCTGTTCACGGCTATATATTTCTGCATGTGATTAACTTTAAAGCATCTTGATATTTACGCAAAGACTCCCTTCCATCAGCTTATCTATCGAACATAGAAGAATCTCTAAAAACGAGTTTGACGCAATAATGAGGTCTAGAAATTATTGTAAATCGTATTTTATGTCAATATGAAGATGTTATTAAACTCCTAAAGAAAAATTTACTTTGACAGAATCTTAGCTTAGAAAAAAGATTGAGATTTCAAATTGATAACGTGATTATTTTGTAAATATTTGACGTTTCTTGTTCGGAGTTTTGCTTTTCGGAAAAAAATCTCTTTGCAGAAATTGAACAAATGCAAAACATCGCAGTTTATAAGCAATACTGTATTTGGAAATCAAAGCTACAGATTAAAATTTAAATATACTGATAAATAATCGGGCCTTTCTTTAATTAAGAGGCAAACATAAAAACGTATAAATTCAAAATATGACAGAGCTTGCCCATTCAAGATTTGCAATTAAAGAGGTATTACTGGTCAGCTGTTAATATTGAAAACACATCGAGAAAGAAAAGACAAGAGTCAAGAGAAATAGAAAGTCGTTCAAAAAAGATCCTTCTCTTGTTATTCGGTATACGTGAGTCCTGTGAAATACATTAATGTTTATCTTACAAACCGAATCACAGAGAGCAAAACTTGTATAGTGCGTGTGAAATGAGTCAGATAATGTTTGTTAAATAGCATTGGTCACAATATCAATTGCACACATACATACATACATACATACATACATACATACATACATACATACATACATACATACATACATACATACATACATACATACATACATACATACATACATACATACATACATACATACATACATACATACATACATACATGCATACATACATACATACATACATACATACATACATACATACATACATACATACATACATACATACATGCATACATAGTTATTCTGTTGAATTGGAAGCCAGTGTACTGCTCGATATTCATAGATATTCAGTATCCTCAGACTACCTTTGGAAGATAGGTAGCAAACAATACAATAAAGTATATGAAAATACTTGGTTATTTAAGCAAGTTAACAGACATAAAATTTTCCGTTTGCTTTCAGGAGTTTGCATTGATAGCAAAGCAGTTGCGATGGCAGGAGAAAAGCAGAATGAATTGTACGATGCTATTGGAATCGCAATAAGCATTTCAAACTTGGTGCTAAACTTTTCTTTAGCATATGCGTTGAAGAGACTAAAAAAACTGAAAATCGTCTCTTACCGGTTCATTTTCTGGTTGAGTTTATCAGACTTTTTCGTTGGTGCAACTGGAACACTTCATCATGCTGGACGACTTTTGCAGGTTGACAAAAAACTAATACTGGCTACGTTTTTGCTTTTGGGGTTCTTTTTTCATTTTTCTGTTTACCTCACAATAACAATCGCAATAGACCGATTCATTCATATGAAGTTACTTAAGGGATATGGCAGTTTTATGACGATCCGTAAATGCAACGTAATGCTCCTTGTCAGTACAATCCTTGCTGCTGCAACTTACCTTTTTAAGAAATTTATCCCAGAAATTTTCTTGATAGCATCCATCTTCGTGTTTTTTCTTCTGTGTATTGTTTATATCTCGACGTATTTGTCAATCAAGAACAGCGTCAAAAAGATCGAACTTCATTCTGGACTTAAGGATACTGATTTGTCTCCACAAACTGAGCCACGCTGTGCCAATCTTGTCAATGATCACGATAATCAAAACAACATTGGAAATAACGTCATTCAAGCGAATTTTACACCCAACCCAGAAGCATGTCTAGCAAAGCAGGGAGAGGAACAACAAAGAATCTCTGCAGGAAACCACATTTTTGCAATACCAAATAGAGAAAGAAGGGAAAAGACAGCAAAAAAGTGCAACAAGCTTGGAGTTGAGAAAAGAGATGCAGCCGAAGATGTGCATTTAAGCAAGGATCTTAAATCTCAAATAGTCGCTACTTCTAAGGCCAGAAGCAAAAGACCTGAAACTGAATTTGGAAAAGCCATGATCTTTATCTTAGCTGGTTTCACCATAACTTTCCTGCCAGTTTACATAATACTTCTGTTTCAAACTATGTCACCAAGTATTGTTGAATCATTTCCAAATGGTTATTTCTTTTTGCTGCCAAGTTTGAACTCATCCTTCAATGCTTTGATTTTCATAGCCTTCAGCAGTGAGTTAAAACGTTATTTCAAAACTCGTATTATTCAAATATACTGACTACTTTATTAGCTATCCATAAGATCAAGTTTATCTTTCATAGCTGTACCTTGAAAATGTCTATAAATAAAAAAGGAACTGATCTTTGTAAAGTGGTATCAATTTACCTTCATAATATAGGCCTCTATATTTTTATCTTGCAGCAGCATTACGTTGTGGGATACATGTTTCTTAATACCTTTGTAAGTGCGGTCAGGTCATATAAACAAGGCTATAAAAGTTTATCAGATTGCAAATGGATACTGATGGAATAGGTTTTTATATCAATCTTTCATTTGAGATTTTAAGAAAGAATAAAAACTTACTTTGGGACTCTTTGTCAACGGCGTTGAATATGATTTGAAGAGTCTTGCGAACTAAATTTTCTTAATTTTATTTGCCTTGTGCTCTGTGACTTTTGTTCAGATAAAACGAAAAATCTTTTGTGTATATAAGTTGTAACTACAAGTAGTATAAGCGTCCTGATGTTGTTAGGACATTAATTATTCTTCTTGTATTTTCTTTTCGTATATTTTCTCAGGATAAAATTATTTCTAAAGCTATCTTATTTCGCTGTGATTTTGGGCACGTAGCAGAAATATAATGAATTTGATAGTGCAGTACCTAAATAAAATTTGAAATTTCTGTTCATCTTCTTGCGATAAAAACTTCTCGTCTGGTTGGCAAAAAATCACAAGATGACAAGAAATTGCGATAAAAACGAAATGGCAAAAAATTTGATAAAAAGGGAAGGCTATAGGTTTTATCAAATGTCCATTTAGCAATTCAATTTAGACGCAGAAACGCACGCGGCTTCTTGGGCCTTGAAAGCGTAAGAAAGGTTTCAAGGATAAAATTGTCCTTGGTTTGAGCCTGAAATCGCTTTTTTAAGATCACGATAAATATAAATGAAAATTATATCAAGAATGAAAGTCTTTTTACAAAAAAATAAAGACTTTTTAGAGAGGTCAGTGTTTGAAAAAAACAGTGCTTTAGACTTACAAAAATTTTCAAATGTTCTAGAAAAATCATTTTCTCTAAAAACCCTCAAATTGCGTCCTCATTGTCGGGAAAAAGACAAAAATTTAATTTGGTTGTGGAAAGAAAGCACATGTTTTGAAAAATAATGACTTTATAAAATGTCGATTTTTTATGAAAAATTAAGGCTTTGAAAAACCGTCGAAGTTTTTCAAAAATGTTTTTTCTTTATAAACCCATAAATTGCTTTTTCATTTTTAGAATAAACAAGTATTTAAATTGGTTCTAGAATTAAAAATTTTTTTCTCGGAAAAATGGTGACTTTTTTGAGGGGTAAATTTTTGATGAAAAATTAAGACTCTAGGCTTTAAAAAACCGTCTAAATTTTTTCAAAATTTTTTTTTGAATTGAATTTTGTTCTGGAATGAAAACTTTTTTCGAAAAAAATAATTATATTTAAAGGAGTCCATTTTCATGAAAAACCTAACGCTACGGAAAATTTTTGAAGTTTTTCAAAAAGCTTCTATAGTAACCCATAGACCGCTTCTTTATTTTCAGAATAAAAAATAATTCAGGAATGTAAGTTGTTTTTTTCAAAAAAATAGCGATTTCATAGAGGGAACGCTTTTCAGGAAAATGTAAGGCATTGAAAAATAGAATTTTTTCTAAATTTTTTTCTCTTTAAAAACCCTTAAATGGCTTTTTTATTATCAGAGCGAGCAAGAATTTAATTTGCTTCTGGAATTTAAGTTGTTTCTTCGTTAAGATAGCAATTTAATGAGGAAGCAAAGGGGTTCGATTTTGATGAAAAATCGCCAATTTTTTTGAAAAATTTTTTCTTTATTCTTCAAAGCACTTTTAATGCTTAACTGACAATTTGCTTCAAAATTCACTGACTCTTATGCATAATAACCAAAACTATATTCTGTAGATATATTCACCACAGGGCCTAAAGGTAAAAATTGCATCATAAATTAAGATATAAGAAAGTCCAAGAACAGAACAATATGCCCTGAGTTTTTCAGAAGCTAATGTTAGGTGAAATTTGCTAGAGTTTCCCATACTTATTCATATGCAAGTGTAGTGGAAAACTGTTAAAGTTCATTCATTTCATTCGTTGTTAAAGATCAGACCAAGTTTTGCAACACCTGGCGACTGAATGGTAAAATCAGACATTACTGACAATATACGTTTCAACGAAAAATGAAATTTGAAAAACTGAAGTTGACCTGATTGCAATTTTTAGGAATGTTATATTAAACAGGAATTTAATTCGTCTTATGATTTTTAAAGAAGGTCAACATTAACGTAAATTTCATGGTATCTTTGGGGGCTGTAGGAGTATCGCCCTGCAAAGGATGAAGCTGTTGTACAAAATAATTACAACAGAAATTATAATTCTAAAATTTATTATTATTATTTCTTATTATCATTTACATTAGTAAATCTTCAATGGTATCAGATCTAAAGAACAATTATAGAGGACAACAGGGGACTGAGGTTGAAGATGGATAAAACCAGAAATACACCTGTTAGGAAAAGATAAGGCAGGGAGCTGGATGAAAGAAGGGACCTGGGAGATTGCTCCCGATAAAATTATTAAAAACCAGAATTATTAAGAACCAGGCCCGTTCAAGCTTTTCTTTTGCACACTTGCTTAAAAACTGTTGTTATTCAGCAGTGAAATGAAAAGAAATGAAAAAAAGTGAAATGAAATATTTCTTCAGCAGTGAAATGAAAAAAAATGAAAAGTTGTCTTGCAAAAGTCGTTTTAACAAGTGAGAAATCATGAAAGTGACATCAATTGACAACACTAGTTTGAAGTTCTCCGAAACAAAATGGGGTTTGTCGACGAATGAGGCGGTTACAACAACATCTAAATTATTACCCGTCTGGTAAGCAAACCAGCAGTCTATGATGTAGTTTTGGTGGTCAATTTTTGAGTACTCTTCAGTTCTTTAGTCGCAAATAGTGTGTTAGGTTTTGTTAATGTGTACTGTAAATGCTTCATTGTGAAACAAACAGTTTCTGTCAGAAAGGGCAATGTATAATCTTTATACAATACTTACACTACTTCTTTAACAGAATGGTATAAAACAAGGGTTACGAAACGTATTTAGGTGAAGTCGCGTGAGTAAGAAGCAAACAAAATACGGGGGTACCCTACATCAACCATGCCCGCTGGCCTACCAGGAAGATTCTTGAGACAGAGAAATATTTTCTACCGACGTCCCCAACTGACTTTTCAAGTTTTCTATCTGAACAAAACGTATTCAGATATAGAATTAGGTAACCGTTTCCAAAATCTGTTGTGACACTAATCCCTTCTTGTTTTGTGTACAACAAAAACTTTTTATTTGCTGCTTTCGCTCACTTTATTATTTACACTCATTCTCTAGTTATCGAGCCTAGCTCTGCTATTACACACTATAATGTTTTTGTCTGCAAACCAAATAATGATTTTAATAAGAGAAGAGTGTGTTTGGTGAGATTTTAGTTTGTAATAGGAGCCCCATGCCAATGGCTACCCAAACTAAAATGAATGGAACAAAAGCATTATTCATTGGCTGCGACAGAGCCATGGTCCTAAGTTGGGGTCCCTTGAGAATCGAAAGAGAATGTTCAATAATACAAAATTGAACAATGCAAAGTGCGTGCCAGAAATACAACATCGACGTATTGAAATACACAATATATGTTTGGAACTAACTTGATTCAGCGGAAGCTACAAGAAATAGGCCTAAAAACAATATATCCCGAGACTGAACCACGTTGCGATAGCCATTTTGCACCAGCGATATTGGAAATGCGATTTAACTTCTGCCAAAAGCCACCCTACTTGACAAGTAGCAGGGAAAATGGAGATGAGTTGTGTCGAAGCTTTTCAATTGATAAAGAAGAAAGACCAACTGGTAGAAGACAGCAAAGGAGTCGGGAATGACGTTAGCAGAATTCACAGTAAGTACCTTTTTCTTTCAAATATATTTTGGTAATTAACAACAGGTTAAAGTTGAACGAAACAACACTGAGCGCCTACACATAAATAAACACATGTCCGGTGCAAAACTGCATATAAAGCGACAACCAAATTTTGGTAAGGCCCTCTCAATACTTGGTGAGGCTATTTTTTCCTCATCCATTTATGGTGAAATTGATTCAATTTGCTAGTATCGCGTATTTTCTAAATTGTCCAAAGATATTTATTTTATGACTAGTTGGACAGAAATTAGGCCCGTTTCACAGAAAAAGCGGGTGTTTCGTGCGCGCAAGACAAGCAAGTATCGTAATATACGCACAACACACTTGGCCTATCTGATCGAATGCCTGAAACTAAAGACAATTTTTTCCTAAAAACGTTTTCTTACGCTTTCAAGGCACATATAGGGAATCTCGATGTATTTTCAACGACTTTTGAGATGTGTCCTTAGCATTTTTCCAGAGGATTTTTTCTGGTATCCATAAAAACAAGATTTTAATTTTGATCAAGAATGAAAGTTGTTCCTTGTAAATATAGCGTCTTTATAGAGAAGTCGATCTTTTATAGAGGAGGCTTTGAAAAAGCGTCAAAATATTTTCAAGTTTTTTCTCTAAAAACCCATAAATCTTTATTATCTCAATGAAAAAGATTTCAGTCTAGTTTTGGAATAAAAGTTGTTTTTCTCAAAATAGGTTTTGGCTTTGAAAAGGCGTTCACGATTTTTTGGTATTTTTTTCGTAGACCCATAAATTTTACTTGATTTTATTTAGTTCTGGAACAAAGCTTCTTTTTCTTAGAAAATGGCAATCTTATACAGGGGTCGATTTTTAATAAAAAGGTAAGGTAAAAAATTCAAAACTCGTCGAAATTATCGGAAGTACATTTTTTGTAAAAGCCCATAAATTACTGCTTCGTGGCTAGAAGAAACGACAAGTGAATTTAGTTCTGGAATAAAATACATTTTTCAAAAAAAAACAATTTTATAGAGGGGCACTATTTTTTGATGAGAAATTATAGCTAGAGTCTTGAAGAAATCGTCAAAATCGTCAAAAGTACATTTTATTTAAAAACCATTAATCACCTCTTTATGATCAGAATAAAAAGGAATTTTGTTTGGTATGTAAATTAAAGTTGTTTCCTTGAGAATTTAGCGCCTTTGTAAAAAGGTCGAATTTTGATGAAAAAGTAAGGATAAAGGCTTTAAAAAATTGTTCAAATTTTTAGGAATTTTTTTCCTTAAAACCAATAAATTAATCTTTTACTATAAGTGTCAACAACATTTTAATAGGATGGTGAAATGGAAGATGCTTTTTTGTTAAAGTAGCGAAATTACTTTGGGGTTGACATTTGATACAAATTAAGACTAGAGGGCTTCAAAAGTCATCAAAATTTTAAGAAATCTTTTTTCATTATAAGCCTATAAATAACTTCCTCTTGATCAAAATGAGTAAGATTTAAATTGGTTCTGGAATAATAGCTGTTTTTTTCTCAGAAAAAAGCGTTTTCAAGAAAGGCTCGATTTTTAATGAAAAAATAAGGCTATGGGCTTAGAACAATCCTCAAAATTTTTTGAATTTTTTTTCATTTAAAAGCCCATAGGTAATTTCGTCTCCACCAAAATAACTAAGAATTTAATTGAGTTCTTGAGTAGAAGCTGTTTTC